ACATATCAGCTCCGAGACCAACTCGTTCAGAGGAGGTCTAATGTCTGGCCTGAGCCAAGGTTTAACCATCCACAAGTGTTGTGGGCATGCAGAAGCAAGTTTGCAGTGCAAAGCCATGCTACCATCATCGTCCATGGCTGGCAGTATGCCTTCGAATCAAAACGTGCGCTCGACTTTTCCGAGAAAAGTCTACGTTCACAGACCCTCTGCGTAGACTTTCTGAGAGTAGGCTATCTGACGAAAGTCTACGTTTTGCACATATCAGCTCCGAGACAAATTCCTTCAATGGAGGTCGAATGCCTGGCCAGAGCCAAGGTTTAACCATCCACAAGTGTTGTGGGCATGCAGAAGCAAGTTTGCCGTGCCCAAGCCATGCTCCCATCATCGTCCATGGCTGGCAGTAAGCGTCCAAGTCAAAATGTGCGCTCGACTTTTCTGAGAAAAGTCTGCGTTCACAGACCCCCTCCGTAGATTTTCTGACGAAAAGTCTACGAAAAGTCTACGTTTTGCACATATCAGCTCCGAGACCAACTCGTTCAGAAGAGGTCGAATGCCTGGCCAGAGCCAAGGTTTAACCATCCACAAGTGTTGTGAGCATGCAGAAGCAAGTTTGCAGTGCCCAAGCCATGCTCCCATCATCGTCCATGGCTGGCAATATGCGTCCAAGTCAAAATGTGCGCTCGACATAATTCAGTGCGTAAAGGGTTAAGATCTTTTTTGGTGTAGATGGGGCTAGCAGGGTTTCGTGCGAATACACATGCTTCATGATAATTTCTAACGTTTCTTCGGTTGGTACGTTAGTGAACAAACTAGTAACATCCAGCGAAGCTAGCAGGCCAGAAGGGTGCGAGGCATGAAACCAACCGAATACGTACCAACCGAAGAAACGTTAGAAATTATCATGAAGCATGTGTATTCGCACGAAACCCTGCTAGCCCCATCTATACCAAAAAAGATCTTAATTGACCTTCTTCGCCTCTGTACATCAGAATCTCCCTTCCGGACTCCTGATAACAAAATTTACCGACAAATTAACGGCGTCGCCATGGGATGCCCTCTGGGACCATCTTTTGCAGAATTCTATATGTGTGAACTAGAAAATCAAGTGTTGCTCAATACACAGATCAAGCCTGAGCTTTACTGCAGATACGTAGATGACATTTTTGTTATCATTCGAGACGAAGAGCACTTGATCGAACTGCGAAGAGCTATGGAACATGAATCAGTCTTGAATTTTACCCATGAAATTGGACAAAATCACAAATTGCCATTCCTGGATATATTAGTGCGAATTGAAGATAATTCCTTCGTCACTAATGTTTACCGAAAACCTACCGATGTCGGAAAAGTGCTTAACGAAGAAAGGGAATGCCCTCAGCGCTATAAAACCAACACAGTGCGAGCTCTCATACAAAGAGCATTCAAGACCTACACATCCGAGAATGACTTGAAAACTGAACTCAGATCGTGTAAACAAATTCTAGTGAATAATGGGTTTTCAAATAGAACAGTTGACATTGAAATATCAAATTACCGATCGAGAGAAAACCGAACTAACAATGAAGCAATATCTAATGGAACGCCCACAACGGTCTTCTACCAAAACCAGATGAACAGAGGCTACAAAGTGGATGAACGAGTCCTACAGTCAATCATCCATAATAATGTCAAGAGTACAACGGATAACGAAAATATAAAACTTCTGATCTACTACAAAAATAAGAAAATTAAAAACCTTGTAATGAATAATAATCCCTGTAAAAAATCTGGTCCGCTTCAAGAAACTAATGTTGTTTATAAATTCTCATGTAATAAAGAAGGTTGTAGACTTCTTCAAAATATGAACTACATTGGTC